GGTGTGACTGTTTGAGGTCATTTTCCATCACTTGTATCCCCGATGCGAATAAGGAGAGAGCAGCTCGCTACCTAGGTCTACAGGTGCCAAAATGCCTGTGGACTACAGAAGCTGTAGGATAAATAAGCACTGATTTGAAGTGAAAATTCCAACAGTCTTAGAATGGTCCGAGAACGTGGCTAAGGGTCTCCTAAGAACATCTGCCAACTTTCGTCGCAATCCGGCGAGTTTTAGGCAGTGCAGATGTCAAAACAGTTTCAGGACATCCTACCTCTATCATGCTGAAAATGGGCTTTGAACTACAACACCATTATCGGAGCGTCAAATGGTCTCCAGACCATCACCATTGGATTCAGAACGGTCGAAAACCCTTGGGTACCAATTTTCGGCTTGTTTGGATGCTTCTGGAACAGGCTATAGTCAACTTACCCAAACTGGGTAGCCGTACACTATTACGGTGCGCCCTCGGCCAACCGGTTTCCATTAATGGAAACGGTGCATCACCAATTCGGGGGCAAACTTCACAAGGTTATATCTTCTTTATCTCGAGTCAGATCAAGCCCAAAGTTTGAAAGCACGTTCGTCTCGTCGACCCGGTCGATTTGATATGTGGCACGCACGATGACATGGCCCGAGTCTGGAGAAATCAAAGAGAGAAGTTTGCCGAAAAACCCAAAAGATGCAGGGAAATTCTAGCCACGCGCCTCGCCGATCAAACTCCCATATCACAGCGCTCGCGCGTCAGATCGACCTCAAACCAGACCCATTATGAGCACAAGGTCAGAGGCTTCATCTGAGCCGAACCTCACATGTGATGGACGGTCAGATTCAACGCACGATGAATCCGAAGTTGTTACAATTCCGACTACCGGAGCCCAAACTCCTGCCAAAGTTTCCCAATTTGGAAAATGGCATCAAATTGAGCCGTTCTTTTTGCAGAACGATCGTGGCAACTTGTTCGTCACGCCACAATCAAGAAATCAACGAAAAACACTAAGAAACACGCTGAATCTTAAAAATCAAGATTGCATGATCTTGGTTCGAAACTCAGATCCATGGCCTGAAATTGGTACCAAAATGATTGTCTCCTCGAGCTCATCAAGAAAATAGTAATCTTTTGGCCAGATGGTGATCGGAAAAGCCCCGAATCAGCCATAGAAAGTTCGCACGATTGAACGGCCATTACATGGACTGATTTGGAATTACTCAGATTGTTGGTACAGGGGCAAAATCGACATTTTGCCCCATTTTTTTAGATTTTCTTTAATTCTTTTAATACCTAATTTCCATCTATTAGTTTAAGTTTTAGTCATCCACCCATGTTTGGGCCCCACTTCTATATAAAGAACGTACTATCTCAATGTAAAGGACCCCTTTTTTGATGAATAAAAAATTACTTTTTGCTTGAGCGTTGGGTCATGGCTTGGAGACAGAGAGAGGAGAGAGAAAATTCAGATGGGTACCCCTTGGTAACTTTCTCTCTCCTCTCTCTTTCTTCTCTTCCTCTCTCTTCTCTGCTCTCTCTTTCTCTCTCCTCTCTTTCCCTCTCCTCTTTTTTCTCTCTCGTCTCTCCTCTCTCTTTCTCTCTCCTCTTCTTTTCTCTCCTTTGTCTCGCACGACAGTGCTCACTGCTAACCGCGATCTCCTTTTTCTTCCTTCTTTTTCTCTCTACCTTGTTTCTCTCATCTCTTCCTTCTTTCTCTCTTCTATCTCGCACGGCAGTGCTCAGTACCAAGCGCGATCTCCTTTCTCTCTTTTGTCTTTCTCTCTTTTCTTTCTCTCTTCCTTCTTTCTCTCTTCTATCCCTCATGGCAGTGCTCACTGTCGAGCGCGTTCTCCTTTCTCTCTCTTTTGTCTTTCTCTTCTCTCTCTTTTCTTTCTCTCTTCCTTCTTTCTCTCTTCTATCTCGCACGACAGTGCTCACTGCCGAGCGCGATCTCCTGTCTCTCTCTTCTGCCTCGCTCTTTTTTCTCCCTCGTCTCTCTCTTTTCCTTCTTTCTCTCTTCTGTTTCACATGGCAGTACTCACTGTCGAGCCCAATCTCCTTTCTCTTTTTTCTTTCTCTCCCTTCTCTCCCTCCTCTGTCTCACACGACAGTGCTCACTACCAAGCGCTATCTTCTTTCTCTCTCTTCTATCTCGCACAACAGTTCTCACTGCCGAGCGCGATCTTCTTTCTCTCTCTTCCTTCTTTCTCTCTTTTGTTTCGCATGGCAGTGTTCACTGTCAAGTGCGATCTCCTTTCTCTCTCTTCCTTCTTTCTTTTCTATTTCGCATGGCAGTGCTCACTGTCGAGCGCGATCTCTTTTCTCTCTCTTCAGTCACTCGTCTTTCTCTCTCTCCCTTCTTTCCCTCCTCTGTCTCGCACGGCAGTGCTCACTGCCGAGCGCGATCTCCTTTCTCTCTCCTCTCTTTCTTTTTTATCTTCTGCTCTCCTTTCTCTTTCCTCTCTCTTCTTTTCTCTATCTTCTCTCCTTTCTCTTTCCTCTCTCTTCTTTTCTCTATCTTCTTTCCTCTCTCTTCTTTTCTCTAACTTCTTTTTCTCTTTTTTCCTCTCAATTTTTCTCTCCCTTCTTTCTCTCTTTTGTCTCTTTTTTCTTTCTTCTCTTTCTTCCTCTTTCCTTTCTCCCACTTTCTTTCCTTCTTCTCTTTCTTCTTCTTTTCTTTCTCTCATTTGTGCTTCTCTTTCTCTTTCTTCTTCTTCCCTTTCTCTCTCTTCCTCTTTCTTTTCTCTCTCCTCTCCTTTCCTTTTCTCTCTCGTCTCTTTCCTTTTTCTGTCGTGCATGGCAATGAACACTGCCAAGCACGACTTTCTTTCTCTTTTTTCTCAATTTTGCACAGCAGCAAACACCACTGAGGGCGATCCTGTCTTTCTTCTCTCTCCATTCTGTCTCGCACGGCAGCGCGAGCGTGACCCTCTCTTTCTTGTCTCTCCTTTCCGACTCGCTCGGCAGTGAGTGCTGCCGAGCATGACTCTCTCCTTTCCTTCTTCCTTCTGTCTCGCACGGTATTGAACACTATCGAGCTGGACCATTCTTTCTTCCTTCTTTCTATCCTGTGTGGCAGCACACATTGCTGGGCATTATCTTTCTCCTTCTCTTTTGTTTTGCACGGTAGTGCATGTCGCCGAGCATGATTTCTCCCTTTCCCTTTTTTTTCTTTGTTTGTTTGATCAGAGGGTAGGCTGAGCCTTGTGCAGCCGTGTTAGTCTTGACATCGAGCAGCCTAGCTATTGTGCCGGTCTAGTTATCGTGCCCTTCTAACTGTTGTTTCGGATCAACGGTTGTGCCAGACCAACCACCGTGGTAGTCTTGCCGTCGTGTAGCCTAGCCATTGTGCCGGTATAATTACCAAGCGCGTCTACATGCCGCGCTAGACTAACCTCCATACCGGTCTTGCCATTGTGCCAGTCTAGCAGCCTGATTAAACTTCCTTCCTCAATTTCACTTCCACTCATCTGCTTTCTTATATCCCACTCAGTTCTTGTTTTATTATTGTGAAATATGTACTAAGGGTCCTTTGTCAAAGAGACACCAGAAGGCTGTCAAATTGATACGAACTCGATCATGTCATTTTCTGTTTTCCTTTGAGTACACACGCATGTGTGCGCTGACCCTATGAGAAGGTGGGGTCCCCACATGTCTTGTAATCTATGTGTGTGTGTAATTGCAGGAAAAGAAGAAATAGGCCAAAGGAGGCGATTTTGAACCAGTCATAAGTCTGGAGGGCATTCCAACGTGATCTAAGAGGGCACCCATGCGAGTTAGCCCGAGTGCGTCACGGACCCAGGTGAGGTAAGTCCCACCTCACACCTTAATTCCTCTCCCACCGGTTGGTAATCTTGCCCGTGTCCTTCGGACACGGTTCACGAGAGAGCGGTCTCAGGTCCAGGTCAATAGCAAACCCGGAGTCAAGTCATCGGGTCACGCTGACCCAAGGGCGAGATTGAGGCATCTAATCAGTGACATGCTCGTATTCGGGCTATCTGCCCCCTAGGCTAGTGCATCTTGCAGCCTGCTTAGGCAGCCATATGCAATATGGCCCATGATCGCACTGCTGTGATGCAAGATGCGGCCGCATTTTATAACATGAAAAATAGAATTTTCAAAGACCGATATTCAAGGATGGTTAGTGGTGAGTGTCTTTGAGCATATCAGGGGTTCATCATTTCCTAGGCCTCGACTATTATTAAAGAATATAGAGGCATATCTAGCTTGAACCCTGTGGGGCTGTGAGCCACAATCTTATCCTAGACAACAAGCATTGATGCTTCTTAGAGTACCTTTCAAGTTTATATCTTAAACTACAGTTTCTTGGCATTTCTCCTTGTAATGGCTGTTCTGTTGTTCAAGGGTTGGTGAGATGAGTTTGGACTAATTCACGTATTCCTATCAATTGTGTGGTACTTCCTTAGTAAATCTGTATTACGCACGAAAAAAATAAAATAGGGTAAGAGAACTTTCAAGAGGCCTCTTGCCCAGCCGATGTGACGCCAACACCCCCCTCCCCCCCTCCTCTTCTGCATCAGTTTGGTGCAGCTAGATGATGCTTACGACTTTTGTTATATATATATATCAAAAAAAAAAAAAGAGAGGAAAAGCTACACAATCCAATAAATTTTTAGAATGCGTACTCCTTTGGTATATGTGCTTGTTTCATACTCTTGACTGGTAAAACATTGTTTTTCATGCTTTCTATTGCCGTTGGGAGCATTTTGGTCATTATATATGTGGAATTATGGATCTTCCTTATGTGCAATTTTTCTCATGCTTTTTGGCAATTTGAGGTTTGCATTAGCCTAAAATTTCCTCTCTGTTTTTATTTTTTTTCTTTGAGCTGAAGAGATATGTTTTGTTCTTTTGCTTATTTCTTGCACACTTCTCTTCACTTTCACTGTGTATCTGAATTTAGCGAATTTCCTCTATTTTTGTTTTGGTGAGTTCTTTTGTGTATTATTTGATTTTCGTTTCTCACAGACCTCTAGGATGATGTTCTTTTCAGGGCAGGGTTATTGAGCAGCAAGGAGCTGATTGAAGATAAACTTGAAAAACGTGTCTTAAGAAAAGGAGTACTGCTTGAATTTCGGAAAGATTCAGACAGGATTTTACTTGGAGTTGCTGAAAAACCTGATGGAAAGAGAAATTGGATGGTTTCTGATCAGGTTCTTAAGAAAACAATGACTTCTTGTTTCTATAGTTATAGAAAACAATTTCTTCTTGTTTCTTGGATTTGATTATTTGAAAAAAGGTTTATTGGTCTTTCTTTCCTTACGCATTTTGATTGGTGAGATCCATTTTGTCTTGTGCCCCATTCTTGGCAGAATGGGATTATGTCTTCCATAAAGCCTCAGCAAGTTACGTACATTGTGCCTGGTGTAGAAGACTTCAACCATTCAGAGATCCCAGAATTTATTTCAAAAACTCAGGATCTTTTGGTAGGTGCTTTATTATTATATCAAGGGATATTACTTGCTCTTCATTTCATTTTGACTCATTGGATTTGTATAGGATGCATCGCTTCTTGAATATGCTTGGGAGGAGCTGTTAGAGAAGGACAAGTCAGTGACAGCTGAAGGGTTAGCAGAGGTTGTCCTCATCTTAATTGTCGGTTTTATGTACTTCCTTTATCTGTTTATGTGACCATAGTTACTTTGCTTCATAATAGATAATATACGGTGGAGTGGACCCACTGGAGAGCTACTGTGCTCATGTCTTACTGTCAAAGGATGAGTTATACTTCAGTGTGTTGGAATCTAAAGGATCCTGTTCTGTTTATGCACCTCGCCCTACCACACAGGTAATGTTCATTACCTTTGTTAAAAGTTGCTTTTTCATTGAAGTAGGTGAGCCATGTGTTATGAAACACAAACTGAGTGAAATTCATCGTGTCATATTCTCCTTTTTCTTTTTCACATTGTACGGAGATTTACCTTATCTAGGGGAAGAGCATGGAATATTATTCTCTTCCTATTGGCCAAGTTTAGAATATATGGAAGTAATGATTCTCTTTTTCGGTTTGTTTATGTTTACTGATGGAAGTTCTTAAATCTGTTTATTTAGCTATTTATGGTTTCTATCCCTTCCATATATGTATTGTACACTGCTTGTATATTTTATGGTGGTTGTGGATGTCCATTTAATGGATCAATATTGCTGTCAAATAGCAATAAACATAATTATTCCTTGTTTGGAAAAAACCCTTTTATTCAGTGCTGTATTTTTTTATGTAGATAAGTTACCTATTTTTCTTTTAGATAAGTCTTTATATTAGGATTCTCCTATGACCACCACTGCAAACTTTAAACGTCTGACCTCTTTTTCATTTAATCTATTACATTAAATGGAGTGGACAACATTATAAATGCAATAGTGCCATGGATCAAGTCCATTTCTATCACCATGTAAACATTGGGCTACGATGCTGAGGGATGTTCTTTTTCATTAGTGACATGGAGCTAGGAGTTTTTTATTTTGGCGGCAACACTTTCTTAACACTAATACGTCCTCCAATCTTGATGGACCCCTCCGATGTTACCTAAGTGTTTATGGAAGTGCCTTTTGTGGACACTTCATGTGTCTTAAATATGGATGTAGGGGCTTATTCTTGAGTGTTTCATGTAACGTATGTAATTGTGAATGTTCTGTTATTTTATGGGACACCATACTAACCGTGTTGAAACGTATGCACGCAATATT